TTACAAACGGGAAATTGATAATCAGTTTGATCATCTGATTATCAATTTCAACAATGAAATGATGCAACGAAACTTCGGAATATTACTAATTTTGTGATGCTTTCTCAAGCTGTGATGAAATTTTTGACTTGTCTAGATCAAAATTTCACTTAAAAGGGGAAAGGTCTATTAAAGCATGTATAATTGCAATTCCTAAAACCCTCAACCTACCAAATTTTCCCTGGACACTGCTTACAACCACTACATGTCCTGCCTTTCTCTCAACCATGTGGCAAAGAACAACTTTTGTGAGAGATATTGAACCAATCACATTTAAGTCAAATAAATCTTGATCAACTTTGAGTTCTGTGTCAATGGCAAGCGCACGTTGTGATCTGCCACTGTTGTTCACCAGAATATCTATCTGTTATTGGTAAACAAAAATATAAAAGAAAAATTTCTAAAATTACAATTTAAACTCTGACCCCATTGAGTTGTACAGTATTGCACCCTAGGAGTAAGGTACCTACTTTATTATTTCACTCTGTCTAATGCCAAATGATTTTACTCATCAAGGGGAGAGTGTTGGCTCAATGGATTAAGTTGTGGAAAATGGACCCAGCAAAAACCCTAGGAACCTTCACTTACAATATACCTGATTAAAATGATCAAGAACAGTTTTCATTGCATCTTCATGTGAGTCATACTTTGTCGTATCAAGTGGCAAGACAAGTACATCATCTGTGTTAAAATCTTTTACTTTCCCGGCAGCAAGTTCTGAAATCAAACACATGACATATTATAATTTTTATACACGTTATCCCAAAAAATATATAGACTGCGAGCGGTCCCTCCTTTCCACGGGTTTAGCTTCCTGTCCGTGCAAGGGGAAAGGCGAGGGACTGCCGACAACACATCAAGAGACAAAATATGTCCACTTTTCACTCTTATCAAGTTGGCAGCCTTTGCATAAACATTACTTATATTCAATTAAATCTATCCAATAGGAACCATTAAATTAAATGTAATGTTTATTTATAAAAATATCAAAATTCAGTCTGGAAATTATTTATAGCATAATTACTACATTCATATCAGATTTGATTAACAGGCACATCAATAGGCAATTCCAGCTTTTAGTTTATGTGTGCAGGGGATGATGGGAAGTAAGGTATCACATTGGTGATTATACTGAAAAAACAAAAATGGTGGCTGTGTAAACACGGAGTGATAGCTTATACTTATAAATATTGAAATATTTCGGTTGTTTCGGTAGTTTTTATTGAAATTTTTCAGCATAATCAGCAATATGATACCTTACTTCCCATCATCCCCTGCAGGCATAAACTAAAAGCTGGAATTGCCTATTTCAATGATTTTAATTAAAACAGATTTTGTGCAAAATTGTGAGATTTTAGAACAGTGTCCTGAGACCGTAAGACAGCATCAAAAATCATCTCACAACAACACTGCAAGAATTGGCAGGTGGCAACGTGTTTCCCACCCTTTTTAATATGTCACAACTCACAATATATTGCACAATATTTATATCAAATTATTCAAAATGTCTTATTTATATTTTAAACTCACCACAGCATTTTGTCTTAACTCTCTCCAGCTCTTGCTGTCTTCTCGCAGAAAGAACCAGCTTACAGCCAGCACTGGCCAGTTCATAAGCCAAGTGCTCGCCTATACCGCTAGAAGCTCCAGTGATCCAAACAACTTGACCTCGCAGTTCCTCAACTTTCTTGCCGAATAATTCGTAATATTTCAACGTTAAATCCACCTCAGCGTACTTGTAATGAAGTGCAAGCAACACTAAGATAACCACAGCAACCAACAAGCAGCACATTTCAAAAATTAACACAATTTGGGTCAGTTTTTAACTCGAATTTCAATGTATAATTGCAAAATTTCTTATTTTCGTGGAAAAGTTTTTAAATTTAAAAGCCCGCGCTATAAGTCATAAGCGGTTTATATTATACTCAATACTTGATGTTAGTTTTACGAGTGTCAGTAAAATAAACCCATATGAAACTTTTTACTAGGGCGCTTATATATATAAGCGCCCTGCTTTTTACCTACTGAAACTGCGCTATTTTGAATCGGAAAGCATTATGGTATATGCAGAAAAGAGCCTTGTCGCCTTGATCAAAAGAGCGAAATATTAAATAACTGAATTACAACCAAACATATGCAAGACGCACTGATGCCAGTTATATTTCAAAACCATCCTCAGAGAACAGAGATTGAGAGATAGGAAAAATTTCATATTCACATACAGTTTCATGTTATTCTGACATTGCAGAGTACAACAAAAAATTCGCTGTTTGATCGCGGGAGGTTTCTGTACGGTTTGTGGTTATACGCCTGTTTTCGGCATGCCACCTTATAGCCACGGTTTGTGGCTAAAAAGTGCGCCTGTTTCCGGAGGTTGCGCCTGTTTTCGACATGCCCTTATAGCCACGATTTATGGCTATAAAGTACTCCTGTTATCGCCATATCTGATATCTTATGGGTTCTAGCCACGGTTTGAGGCTATAAAGTTCGCCTATTTTCGGCATAGCTTATAGACACAATTCATAGTTGTGGCCATACGGTACACCTGTTTTCGGCATACGTTATAGCCACAGTTTGTGGCTATAATTATAAAGTACATCTGTTTTCGCCATAAGACAGTACCTTAAAGGTACGCCTGTTTATTTTCGCCGTACCTTACAGCCAAAGTTTAAGTACGCCTGTTTAACTGTTTTTGCCATACCCTATAGCCTATACTGACAGTTTGTGGCTAAAAGGTACGTCTGTTTTTGGCATACCTTAAAGGCTATATGACTATTGAACATACAAAAAAGGACAACCATGCACAATTGGTATTTTCTTTTAATTATTTTTGCTACTTATGTAGTCATGACTCATGTGTCAACAAGCTTTATAAAAATCTTTTTCTCATTTTATCTTTCAAAGGCTCAACATATTCCAACATAGTATTATCTGTCAGTGACTCAACGGCGTCCAGCTCGAAATATTCGTCCCAATGCTCTTTCATTGCACGCTTTCCTAAGCCCGTATCCGTCCCAGTAATTTTCCCGATCACCTTTCTTCGCTCCCAGTCCTCCGCAGACCGCAATTTATAATGATGTAATCTTATGACGTCATAGGAATAAAAATTCTCCGACTTATAAAAATTCTTGGTCATGAAGCCATTAAACATTGCCGGCCAGTTAGCGAAAGGTACACTGTTTTCGTTGACGGCATAGTAGTCCGAAACTGAGCCGAAATTATGCGAAGAATATACTCGATTCGTACGCTTCGGTTGTATTATTTGTTTCCATGTATGTTTGGGTATTTTCCACCGTCTCGTATAAGCTTCAATAATGAGCTTATCTTGAGGTGTTCTTACCCAGCCATTTGATGTGAAATAGACCCAAGGCATCACAAGAGCTGAGTAGGCTTCATAAAGTTTTAGTATATCTCGCAAACTTTTATTTCCACGTCCAGCTCCTGGAAGAATGAACTCATCCGAATCCAACATGGCCATCCAACGTGTGTCGCATGCATGACTTTCAATTGTGTTTTTTAAAAATAATTTCTGTGTTAGTATTTCCTCAGTTCCATCGAAGAGGATCATTACTTTATTGGGAAATTGTTGAATTGTCAAAAGGTTCGCCTCAATGTAAGGTCTTAGCGTTTCCTCCAAGTTATCAGTGGAGTTATTGTCGTATAAATATACGTGCTCAACTCCATGCATGAGGTGGAATTCGATCCATTCTGGCATATATTTTGCACGGTTTCTAACGATTGCTGTCAAAGTTAGATAATACTTTTCGCTATTTGGTTCACACTCGGGCAGTTCGACCGGTACCCCGTAAAGATAATGCGCATAGCCGTGCGGATATAAGTTTGGTACTATAATAAATAGAAACGAATTCAAAAGTATAAATATTACCCCAATAAGAAGAAATGCTTTCATTGTCCATGACTTGTTAAAACGTAATCGTATATAGCCCATTTTTCGTTCAGGCAATTATTCAGCGCTGACTATGGTTCAGGTGCGATATTCATTTCTCTTGTTGTTTGGCGGACATACATATGTGATAAAAACAGTATGTTTCTGATCTGTTCATTTAATTGCCATTGATGGTATTCGTGATAGTTTATTCCGTGCATCATTTGCATATAACTGCATTCTGCGGAACAAGTCGTGCAATAAATCATGCATACTGATACATACAACAAACTTTATCAGTAAACACCGGTAGCCCCAACAACTTGGCTAGAGCTGATTTCCACGAGGGGCATGATAGACAATTGATACATAAACAATATATACACGCAGTATTATGTTACATAATTAATGAAAAGTAACTAAAATAAGAAATAATAAGAGAGCTCTACTGACAGTCATATGCAGATTCAAAGATGAAAATTGATGAGCCAGTTTCAAAGCATTCTTTGTTTAATAATCATTTTAAAGGTAATTAGGCCTGGGGCTAACTTTTGCCTCATAATGTAGGTTATTCCAAATTGCAGCACCATTATAGTTAAAGCACCTCTTGCCGAAATCTTTCTTCGGCTTAGGAAGTGTTAAGTCAGCCTCTACTGTACAGTACAGTACACTGCGGTGTCCCCCAAAACCCCAAAACTATTGAAATAACGTAGTATTAGAATGCCCCCACACTCTGCTGAAGACACAAGTGCATAAAGGCTTGACGTAAGTAAATTGTATACATAAAGAAACTGTTTAAGAAGCTGCCGTCAAATTCCCAAGAGCAGAAAATCGTGCGCTTTACCGCAAAGATATTTTAATTTCTTAATAAGTCAATATTTATAGCATATGCACCCTGTCAATATTTTACGCATCTTTTAGTTCAGCTTAGTGCTAAGGCATTCAAATGCTAACAATACGTTATTTCAATAGTTTTGGGTTTTTTTGGGACACCCTGTATATTAGAGTTTGTTTCCACAAGGGGCGTGATTAGACAATACATACACATAAACAATATATACACGCAGTAACTAAGGGAGCATTCATTTTTTAGCTGAGGGGGTGGGCCGGAGGAATTTGGGGGTGGGTCAGCCAATTTTGACATGCTTCAAAGGGGTGGGTCTTTTTATAGTTTTGGTATAAATGGAGGGGGTCATAAAAATAATCGGTATGATTTTATTGAATTTGGAAATATTTGGATCAAGAATGGTAAAAAGCTCTAGAATCTATCAACTATCTCGTCATGACGTCATCTATAACAAAGAAGCAAAATTCATTTGACGCTCTGTTCACATAGTCCATAGGAAAACATTTCCATGATGTTCGTCAATTGACCTCGTTTTTACCCGTTTTTGTGTGAAAACATGAATGAAAGAAAATGCAGGACTGTAGCATGATTTCAAAATCATGCATGATTTCAAGGTCTGCATGACTTCAAAATCATGCAGACCTTGATCAATTTTAAGCTTTATTAATTTTAAGCGGCTACATTATCCATGACAAACTGCACAGAATGAAGATAGTACACACAGTTTCCTGCAACTTATCCTAGTTATCCAATATATAGTAAATTAAATACGCCTTCGCCCATTTAGTACTACCAAATTGTCAATTTCGACATACTAAAACGCTGTTTTCTGACCATCAGAATTCTGTCAAATCTTCCCCCAAAGGCCAGGAAATGGCATTTCAGAGACTCTAGATTTAAAAATTTCCTCGGGCCTTCGGCCCTCGCTTTCAGCTCCCCAATCAAAAAGAGCTTCCTACGGCCCTGAAACACTATGGAAACGACACCGTGTGGATTAATAGTTAGGATGAGGGGTCAAAAAATTTTCAGTAAAAGAAATAGGGGGTCATAATTTTTTATCAACTTTTGTCTTGGGGGTTCCATGTTTTCGCATGGAATTAGACATCAGTTCCTCCGGCCCACCCCCCCCCAGCTAAAAAATGAATGCTCCCTAAAATAAGAAATAATAAGAAAGATCTACTGAAAATACATGTCATGCATATACAGATTCAAAGATGAAAATTGATGAGCCAGTTTCAAAGCATTCTTTGTTTAATAATCATTTTAAAGGCACTTAGGCCTGGGGGTAATTTTTGCCTCTCATAAGGTATAGGTTAATTCTTGATTCCAAAGTGCAGCATCATTATAGTTAAAGCACCTCTTGCCGAAATCTTTCTTCGTCCGGCAAATACAGTTCTCTCATATTTCGAGGGAAACGGCCTCAATTTTGTGCTAAGTCCGGCAAATACAGTTTTCTCATATTTCGAGGGAAACGGCCTCAATTTTGTGAAAAAGTGGCTCAAAGAAACGGGCATGGAAAAACTACTGTGCTTCATTTGAATGTATGTATTACAAAATTGTGTAAAACTGTTAAATTTCCATAAGGTTTCCAAACTTTTTAAGTGAATTTCGCTATCTTGCCGAAAAACATTTCCGTATATTTTGTACTTTTTGTATGTATTATTTACTGTTTCATAATTTTCATATGAAGGTGGGGCATTTGAACGCTTAATTTCTTGTTACAGTGGGGCATTTGAAGACATTTTTTGCACAGGGGGTGGAGAATTTGATCAGTCAAATTTCAAAAAGTTCAAATTCCCGGGGTCGGCCCGGGGGGGGGCATGTTGAAGTTTCGAATTGATCGATACATTATAGGCATCCCGCAATTTCGCAGTAATCCTCGTGTCCGATGCGAGAGTCGAACACATCGGATGACTGCGGCACCGAAGTCCGAAATTACGAACTGTTTGGCAGCCAATCAAGCATCAGGGGTTTTAGATATTTGCGAACCGACAATAAGTAAAAGTGAGACAAACTTACATTTTTATTTTTATGACAAATATGATGAAGATAAGACCATTTACATGTTAGGATATATAGGTAATTATTATATTAAGTATGCATGTCCTTTGGCCTTTGGAAAGTCATTTCAACTGTTCCGCTGTCTTTTAATACAATTCACTAACTCTAAACCCCGGATCAAACGATGATGATAGTGCATGAGGGTTGACAGTCGCGCGAGCTTGGTCAGCTGTTTTTAATGCTTTCCGAACACTATCAGTCCGTCATGTATGTTTTATTTATGTTGAAACATAGTTGGAACACTCGTCAAACCTTCATTTTGTTAATCTAGAGTTTAAAATGTCCCCTGTGACAATTCGTGCATGTCTGTCAACTCTCATCAACTCTCATTCTCGTGTTCAGTACCGGGGGCTTTAATACGACCAAAAAATTAATTCTTACCGGCGTACTAGGTATGGCATATAGGCATAGATTACGACATAATAAATCTATATGTATTAGTATCATGATTAAATAAAACAATAAACAATGATTATAAATAAAACTATATACAGTTAAAACTTTTCAAGGTAAAACTTCCTCTACCAAATGAGAATGCATGCGAGGTTGTTCACGTTGTGCTGTAAAAAGAAATTCACAATGTTTCCCCGGAATAATTCAAACAGGATTTGTTTACCTGCTATATACTGTTGTTCTGAGCAAAATGGCGTCAAAGTACTTATTTAAACGGTAAAGTATGGAGAAACATTGTAAATTTCATTTGACAGTACAACGTAACATCAACTTTCATCCAACGTACAAACATCATGTTTGAAAAGATGAACAAATGTTTAGTGATGTACGCCTCGCGGTCAGTTGCAATTGACTAGTACAACACCTCGATATACAGAGAACAGTTATTCGCTCAAAGTTGTCAAGTAGATATTCAGTGCTAGAATATTTCCTGCGTTATCATTGGTTGAAAATTTACACGAACACTTAGGACACTGAACTTCCAAAAGCGTTCCAGTAAATTCAGTAACCAACGACGTTTGCTTACATTCTGGGCACGTGTACTCCGCTTTTTGCAAGCCTTTCAACGAGTTCCTTAACCTCTCAGCTACTTCAGATTTATGATTTTGGTAATACTCTTTCTGTCTTTCAGTCAGTGTATTCAACTCCCAGAAAACATCGAAGAATTCCAGTTTAGGAAGCACATCTGCATTTTCCACTTTAAAGATTCCATTCAAGATCTTTTCACTCTTTTCATCTTGTCCTTTAACGATTTTAGGCCAGTCTGGCCCACAGGAATCCATGAAGATTAAGCACTTGCTGTTGTAACTCATCAAAACGACGGCATGGCCTTCAGTTTTGGAAGTACGAGGGAGACCAAGTTCTTTTTTAGTGAGTATATCAGTTGGATTGTTTTCGTAGAAGTTGTCAAAAGCATCCCATTGTTTGGCTGTAAGACGAAATCTGGCTACCACGGGACGTTTCGCAACGATAGCTTCCTTTGCTTCCTTTACGCATACTTGGCGGCAGCATAAATTATACATTCGGCACATTTTCTCCAAAACGTTCCTTGTATCAGCGCACTTTCTTCCATAGGCATCGATCATTTCATCTTTTAACTTATCAAAACTAGGACACCCTTCTTCTCGTCCATGAAATCGTTGCATTGCCAAATGGAGCACAGTAGCGGATGCAAACGCATAGCAGGTCGACTCTTCCCCTTGATCCCTTGCTGTAAAACCACTCGTGGTTCGGTTGATATATATGTCGATGTCAACAGATATCAACAATTCAGATAATGCATCTGAACTACAGACGACATTTTTGGCCACTTTGCATGCTTCCCTGAAAGTAATTTCATAAAAAGTTAGAATAATGCTAAATTGCCAATGTTATATCGTTTATCAGCCATTAGGCTAGTCCCCTCAGTCTCCATGTTGCTAATCCCCTGCCCCGTAACGGTGTGCTGTTTTTCGGGAAGAATAAGTTAGGAAGGGTGTTTTGATGCTATCATAACTGAATGCTTTTGTTTTCTGAAGGTATTTTTATGTCTCTTGATCACATTAAAAATCTTATCAAAACAGCTGAAAATGATTTTATGAATACAGACAATAGTTTAAAACATAGTCGGTATGAGAAATTTTCGGTATCGGTATAGCGAGAATATATTATTAGCATATCGTTTCTTAGGCCATTTTTGGACATTTAGGCCATTTTTCTTAATGGGGACCCCACTGATGATTTCCTAAAAGAGGCCTTGTTGAATTTAATACCTTAAGTTGTCTGGATGATTGACTTGCATGAACAACTTTGTTTCATTTTTGGCGATGTCGATCTTCCAACCACGTTTAACCAAAATGGCTCGTGCCACTAAATCCTGTGTTCGTACTTCAGAGCTCAACGAAAACAGAAACTCAGCTCCATGTTCCCAAGTAGGTGGAGGTGGAATTTCATCGTACAAACGTTTTGGATCAATATTTGTGGATGCGGTGATAAAACAAGACACTGTTTTGACGCCTGCTTCATTTAGTTCGGAGGTAATTTGGTTGATCCTGGCGATATCACCAATTCTGCCGTCTGCAGGCTCTCCATCTGATAGCACGAAAAGCAGTTTGTTCTTAGACCTATCTCTTTCAAAAAGCTTTATTGCCTTTTCGAGAGATCCATACAACGGCGTTCCGCCATAAATAAAAGGCTCGACGTTCTCGAGTAACTCTTGTTTCCGTTCTTTAGAAAGTTCGTTAAGTCCCTTCTCACCGACACATCCACGAATAATGCGGGAGGCATCTTGTACAGTGAATATTGAGTGGGTTACTACGTCTTTTAAAATGCGAGGGGCATCTTCCACACTGAATTTAGAGCGGGTTTCTACATTTTTCAAAACACGAGAGGAGTCTTCCAAATAGCATTTTGCTTTCCTTACAACTTCTTCGATTTCCTCTCTCGTAGCTGATCTAATACAACTAACTGCCGATACAGTAGCATTTTCTGCCATGTTCGCTGCTGTACGTAGACCAAATTGTACGCTGCCGGCCAACCATGAAGCCCAGCTTTCATTCTGCGCTCCTCTGGATTGAAAATGAAAGTTTTGGTTCGTGAATGTGCCAGTTCTAGGATCGAATGAGATCGGGATTGATTCTGCGCTCCTCTCACTCGGATGGGAAGGCTGGGTTCGAGGTTGGCCGCCAGCATGAGATGCTGTTTGTACTCTATCACGACAACTGGGTGGTAAAAACTCGTCCACAAATTTTTTGACAAACTGTTCGTCCGACTTAAGTTCTTGCAGAGTCAATGTTGCCATATAATCAGACAGTACATCTTGAATCAGTTTAAAATCGCAGGCCCATTTACGTATGTTGCGTGCACCGTTTCTCTCGAGAAAATCAAAGATCTCGTTGATATGGTCTTCAGTTGCAGGCCTGTTGAGAGTTCCAATAACATCAAATATTTCTTTGCCGGGAAATTCTGCACCGACGCCTATTGCAAAGACACGATCCTCAGATGTAAGATCATGTTCAATCAGGTCATCGATAACATTGAAAATAGATTGAGCCCAAGGTCCACCTTCTTCATCAGTACCGCTTCCAATGTTTCTCTTCATAGAACCAGAAACATCAAGTAGTATTCCAGTTAGTGACATGTTTCTTTATCTGCAATAAAGAAAAATTCGCATCCTTTAGCCTTTTATGCGCGAATCAAATCGAAACCTTGACTTCCCCCCCCGGGCATACCTGGGGAATTTGCTTGTTTAGTATTTTAAGAAGGCGGGAATTTGACCTATTTTTCTAGTGGAAGGTGGGGAATTTGAACCTGGGTCGGGAATTTGAATTTTTCTTTTAAACACGTGTGCAGAATCCAAAATGGCGTCAATAATTAATGGATGAGTTCAAGGTCTTCAAGTGCAAAGGAATTAACTTTGTCCTTGGTTGGCTACAAGAAAACGGCTTTGAACGATTGAAGAGAGTTTTTGAAGGAAAGAAAAACTTTGAAATTCCAAAATTGCGAAATGCTGTAGCTTCCAATTCGTACATGGGGTGGGGTATTTGAACTCCAATTTTTCCCAATACGTGGTGTATTTGAACGGGAATTACAAATATATGTAGGGAATTTGACCTGACCAAAACGTCAAAATCCAAATTCCCGGGGGTATGCCCGGGGGGGGGGATGTCAAGGTTTCGATTTGATTCGCGCATTACATCATACAAATTGTAAGAAATATCTATATATATATATAGTCTGCGTAAAGTCTACATACACACGTCTATAACATTTCTTAATTTCAGATTTTGTGATAGATCTCCGGGAATTTTTCAATTCTCAGCTAGGTATACAAATGCAACAATGCCTATGTGTTGGCGCGGGAGAATTATGGAAAAAAGAACTCTGCATCGTAAAGTTGAAAAATTAGGATAACTTTTTTGGCGGCGCGCAGTGTCATGGTCTGCTCGAATGCAAACACAAGTAGAGCTGTAATACTGTATGCAATAGCGGTTTACTACTTGGCAACCAAATTTGTTTTGGCAAGCAGGTAAGAAGTGACTGACGCATTTTTAAGTTAACAACGCAATTGTCGAAACGCTTGACTTGCCGCATATACTATATTACTATCCCTGAATCACAGTAACTGCATGAAATACCTTTAAACCTTTTTTTGAAATTTGTTGCTATTCGTCAGTTGCGTTTTATGGACTCAGTTGCCAATTATTTTCGTGCATGCATGATAAACTCTCAACTGAACTCTATAACTCGAAAAAAAAATCGCGTCAAAGTCTTGTACATTTAAATAAAAAATTCGTAAATTATGAGTCTCCATGCAGAGAGTGCAAATTACAAAAAAGTTCATTTTTCCCTACAAAAGGTCCAAAACAGTTGCGCCAAAGTCGATGATATATTTGACTATATACTAAATTGCCAGACTTTCGAAAGTCTAAAACTCAAACATCTCATACATTTTAAAGCAGTGATTTCCTCTCGAACTAGTAAAGCACTGGAGTAATAACTATTACGTATACACCAGTATAGGAACACCAAAAATTTTCGGGAAATTGAAATTACATACCTTTCAATTTCGTAGTACTTGATTCGTTCTGAAGATGTTGAATAAACTAATCTGAGCGTCTTCCAGGTAAAATAGAAAGTTAAATTACCGAGAAAACGACGGATTTTGCGGTTCAAATTCATAAGTTATTCATCATTTTATAGCGTCAACCGGAAATAAATTACCTTGATGTTTTCCAAGAAGAAAATGTTTATGTTGTCGTCCCAAAATTCTATGCAATACACAGTATTTAATTAATTCTTTACACCTATTTGTTATATATTTGGGTTTTTTTATTCCTATGCTTGCATGGCTTTGGCCTAATTTCGCCAATGCTGATTGAAACCTTTGCCTGAGTGGCTTGTAGTGTGAGCACGACTTACGTTCCCCTTACTCCTTTCTCATAGCCTGCGAACATTGACCAGATGAATATAATGGCTAACAAGCAACATATATTAGAAGAATCGAAAGAGAAAAGATACAGCGCCTAAACCAAATAAATGTGGTTGTATCTCGTAAAATAAATATCATGTTTTTGGTCGAGAAAATGGCCGAAAACAATGGTAAAGCCAAGTGAACCGAGCATTTTGGTCAGTGCCATACACATCGGAGAGGAGGGGGGCAGCAGTAGCAAGTGCCCCCCATTTTTATTTTGTTATTATTAGTTATTTCGTGCATGTTGTTTGGGTACTTGTTACTTACAGAAATATCCATGTAAATAATCTTAATGCTTCAGGCCTATACACCTAAATAGAGTAGGCACCTCATTACTAGCGAAGAACTTTATTGATTGAACTTCTAAATACAGATAGTAATTGAAATAACAATCCAAGCCACGACCTAAATAAGCACAAATTACCTGACAGTTTCACAATACAGAATGCCAGCACTGTCTACATCGATACAGTGAATGCTGCCAACTCGCCTCTAACTCAGCCAAACATTTTACTTGACTCAAAAGGATCTGAATATTTAGTACCGAATGTACGTGGTCTAAAAATTGCAAGCCTTAACATAAATGCTTACTAAAACACATGAATCAATTAAGAGTATATGCATGTTTAAGCAACAAGTCGATATCTTAGCGATCAACTAAACTCGACTCAGATGTACCCCAAGACTTAATTTTCCTTGAAGGTACACCTGGATCTCTAGAAATAGAAATAGAAACAGGTTTGGTGGTGGTGTTGGTTTCTTCATAAGAAATACTATAAATTACCGCACCAGATTTGACCTAAATAACCAAGACATTGAAATGGTTACTATTGAAATAAGCAAATACAAAACTATATAAACCTTTTTTAATCTCGACATGGTATCGACCCCCTAACTCTCCTATCGATTTGCTAACAAAATTTGAAAGAATTCTGCAGCTAATCGTTATGGAAGAAAAAGAGAGCATTATTCTAGGTGATGTGAACTGTGATATCCTCGAAAATAATCGTAGGGATCATAGGAAACAGACCCTTTCTCGCACAAAAGGCATTAAAGCAGTTGCAAAGCTACTGTTTTGCTGGGTAAAAAGACGTCAAAATACACAATACATCTCACATGATTCATTCATTCAATTAAGGTTGAGATTTGTCCTTTGAAAGTCAAAACATTAAACCACAACTGACAACACCTCGTCCTCCAACGCTTTGTGCGTGAAAACTGACATATATAATGGACGTGTATATAGAATGGGATACGAACGAAATCCCGAGATTTTCATGATTTAAAAAAAAGTTTTAAAAAAGTTGTAGCCTAAAAAGAAAAATAGTTAAAAAAGTTAGATTTTCAAAAAAAAATTAAAATGTTAGATTAGGGTTTGGGGTTATAGGGGTTAGTAGTTATATAGGGTTGGGGTTAGGGTTAGCAGTTATAGATGCCGTAAATTTATCATTATTGATAAATTCAAAATGTGCCGCGAATTTATCATAATGATAAATTCGGACGTGTTTAAGAATTTACTCATATAGTAAATTCAAAGGTGGAGCTCATGCTGAAGTGCTGAACTAAAACTATATGTAAAATAAATTTTCAAAATTAAAAGTGTTGTTTTCTCGGAAAAGCTATACTTAAATGTGTTAAGTATACTAAACTGTCTGTACCAGTGTAGGTAGTACCAATAAAGCGTGTTAGGTTTGAGCAAGTGGAGAACATCATTGTTACATCTTAATTCATACATTTGATTTGTACAGATTGTGAAAAACTTGCGGAGGTAATCAGTTGAATTACCTTTCATTATTTGTATCATGTTTCTAATTGCTTCTCTCTCCTTGCTTCTATAAGGTGTCCCACGGAAGTTTAGTTCTGACAATTTCTGAGGCAGTTTCGTAGCAATCACCTGTGTTTATTCGGCCGGCTTTATTTTGGAGTTTTTGTAATTTAATTGTTTTGCAAGGTTTTGGAACAATTGTTCCATACCAATGAATAATAATCAAAATGAGGCAAAGCAAAAGCGCTATAAATGGTTTAAGCGTATCTTTGTCAAATAAATGTTTAGACCTCCGTAATATTCCTATCCCTTTTGCAGCTTTTTTGGCCACTTTATCAATATGGTCTTTCCAGGTGATGCATTCATCCACCACTACGCCAAGCGTTTTGGTGCATAAAACACGTTTGATGCCCTCAGATCCCATCGATAAGATTGGATCAGAACTAACTTGGGACAACCTTTGTCTTGATCCAATTGGCATATACTCAGTTTTATCAACGTTCAAAGTTAACTTATTAGCTAAAAGTCACATGTGAACTTTATTTAATTCAATTTCTAAATTATCTTGAATCTCACTTGCGGCAGAACCACTGGTAGTAAGGGAGCATTCATTTTTTAGCTGGGGGGGGGAGGAACTGATGTCTAATTCTATGCTAAAACTTGGAATCCCCGAGAGAAAAGTTGATAAAAAATTATGACCCCCTATTTTTTTACTGAAAAATTTTTTGACCCCTCATCCAAACTATTATTAATCCACACGTTATCGTTTTCGTAGCGTTTCAGGGCCGTAGGAAGCTCTTTTTCATTGGGGCTGAAAGCGAGGGCCAAAGGCCCGAGGAAAATTTTAAATCTAGAGTCTCTGAAATGCCATTTCTTGGACTTTGGGGAAGATTTGACAGAATTCTGATGGTCAGAAAACAGCGTTTTAGCATGTCGAAATTTACAATTTGGTGGTACTAAATGGGCGAAGGCGTATTTAATTAAATATTGGATAACTAGGATAAGTTGCAGGAAAATGTGGGTAATATCTTCATTATTTGCAGTTTGTCATGGATAATGTAGCCGCTTAAAATTAATAAAGCTTAAAATTAATAAAGGTCTGCATGATTTTGAAAAAAGAATAATTATTAGCAAATTATGGGGGGGGGGCTGCAACCCCCCCCCCCAACCGTTGCTACGGTCCTGCTGTTTCTGTCATTCATGTTTTCACACAAAAACGGATAAAAACGAGGTGAATGGACAAACGTCATGGAAATGTTTTCCTATGGACTGTGTGAACAGAGCGTCAAATGAATTTTGCTTCATTGTTATAGATGACGAGATAGTTGATAGATTCTAGACCTTTTTACCATTCTTCATCCAAATATTTCCAAATTCTATAAAATTATATTTGTGATTTTTTCACTGATTATTTTTATGACCCCCTCCATTTATACCAAAACTATAATAAGACCTACCCCTTTGAAGCATGTCAAAATTGGCTGACCCACCCCCAAATTCCTCCGGCCCACCCCCATCTCCCAGCTAAAAAATGAATGCTCCCTAAGATTAGTATCATGAGCAAAAAGTGCTGGTACTGAAGAGTCAAGGCAATTCGGTAAATCATTTGTATGATATAGAGTAAAAAAGAAGAGGACCTATATTTGGTCCCTGCGGCACGCCTGTTGTGATGTTTTCACTATTTGAAACAGACATCCCTACTTTACACTAATTTGTTTCCTGTGACTTAAATATGAGATGAACCAGCGAAGGGCATTATTTTTGAGGCCATAAAGTTCTAGTTTTTTAATCAATATATTGTGATCAACTGCATCAAAAGCCTTTTTAGTTGTTTTCATTAGTTGTTCTTAATAAGGAAAAACAAGTAGAGTATCCTTTCTGAAACCTGTTAAAATCTTGTTTGTAATAAGATACGGACTTTTGTAATAAGATACGGACAATTTTTTCGAAAAGTTTCGAAATAGCGGATAAAATACTTATGGGTCTGTAATTGCCGCATTCTTCTCGATTTTCAGATTTGAATATTGGAGAAACTCTAGCCTTTTTCCAGTTATCAGGAAATTTCCCTTTTGATAGGGATAGATTAAAAATGAGGTTCAAATAGGGTGTGATAACGCCTGCAGAATCCTTTATTAGTTTTTGGAGAATATTGTCTAGACCAGCTTCCTTATTATGTTTGAGTTTCATTATATTCTTATAAACAGTGTCATCATTTATCATAAAGAATTGAAATTCACAATCTACTGGATCCATATATTCTGAAAAAACTCTAGGACTGGCAGGCAATTTATTTGATAATATTGCATGGACCAATTTCAACAAAGTATTTATTGAGTTGGTCTGCTATTAACTTTTCTTTTATTACCCAGATCATCCAATTTAATTGCGGGTATGGTGGTGGTTTTAGAATACCGACCCTTTCCGCTGATGACCTGATTAATATTTTTCCACATCTCTTTAGCCTCGAGAAAATGTTTTTTGCCGAGAAAATGGCTGAAAACAATGATAACGCCAAGATAGCCGAGAAGGGCAGCAGTAGCAACTGCCCCCTGTTGTTATTATTAGTTACATTCTGCGGTTGTTTGGGTACTTGTTTCAGCATATAGGTATACAGTCCCTCTCCTGCGTACGACCCTGTTTTAATTTGGTTAACAATGACTTTAAATATTCTCTCCACAATATATAGAATACTAGCTAGAAACCATGCGAAGATAAAACTAAAATCTATATTGATCAATAGAAACAAATACACATAGGATATAGCTAGACTGCGGAAGTTTAAAATGACAATTGCACTGCCCGTAAACAAAACAAAGTAACTTAACAGAACAAAGTTAACTACAACTTATTTAAACAAAAAATTCCTGCAAGGTAAACAGGTGGAGAGGCGTCACAAATTTGAAGCGAAACACGCGCTGTTCAGCGACACCTCACAACTGCACCCTTTTTGCAACAAAGCTGAATGACATCCAGAACAACAGCTTATAACATTATAAATAGATATTTCTAAAACTAAATATATTTTCCTGTTCAAATGCACGAAAAATTCTATAGTTTAAGAGACTCTTGGTTCACATACGTTATCAAATTTTACACAAGATTTGTTCAGACATTTAGTTCAAAAACTATTACAGTAAGTTAGAGCAATCAGAGTATAAACCAGTAAGGGAACCGTTGAACAAGTCCTCACCATTGGAGCATAAATCACGCATTTTATATCTAGACGCAAGCTCGAAATTACCAATCAGACTGCAATTCACTAATTCAACATTAATTACTTATTCAGTTTGTACATTTAGAATATTCAGAGCATACTTATCTGCTCAAAGATGTCAAGTACACATTCAGAGCCAGAATGTTCCCCGCGTTAGCACTGGTTGAAAATTCACGCAAACATTTCGGACATTGAACTTTCGACAGCGTTCCAGTAAATTCAGTAACCAACGATGTTTGCTGACATTCTGGGCAGATGTATTCCGCTTTTTGCAAGCCTTTCAGCGATTTCATCAACTTTGTAGCTACCTCAGATCCATGTTGATGGCAATGCTCTTTCTCTCCTTCAGATAGGTCATCCACATCGAAGAATTCTAGCTGATCACCAAGCACGTCGGCATTTTTCACTCTGAAGAATCCATTGTTGGCCCATTCTTCTCCCCAGGAATTCATGAAGGTTAGACACTTGCTGTTGTAACTGGTCAAAACGACAGCATAACCAAAAGTGCGGGGCGGAGGACTTGTAGGACACTCACGAACATCAAGTTCATTTTGCGTGAGTATACCTGTTGGATTTGTGTCGTAGAAGTTGCCAAAAGCATCCCATTGTTTGTCTGTGAGACGAAATCTTGCCACCACGGGACGTTTTCTGACAATGGCTTGCTTCGCTCCCTTGATGCAGACTTTGCGGCAGTGTAACCGATACTTCGGCACATTTTCTCCAAAACTTGGCTAGTATCAGCGCCCATTTTTCCATAGGCATCGATTATTTCATCTTTTAACTCATCAAAACTGGGACATCCTTCTTCTAGACCATGAACTCGATGCATTGCCAAATGGAGCACAACAGCGGATGCAAAGGCATAGCAGGTACACTCTTCTCTTTGATCCTTCGCTCTGAAAGCGCTCGTGATTCGGTTGATGTATATGTCGAGGTCAACAGATACCAACAGTTCAGATAGCGCATCTGAACTACATACGACATTTCTAGCCACTTCGCATGCTTCCCTAAAAGCAATTCCATAGAAGTTAGAATTTTGCCAAAACACCCATATCGTATCGTTTATCAGCCATTAAGCTAGTCCCCCCATTTTGTTAAACTATTTTAGTCCCGACCCCCGCGACGGCCCGTTTTTAGGAAAGAATAACTTCGGAAGGGTGTATTGATGCTCGCAAAACTTAATGCCTTTGTTTTCTGAATATAATTCTATGTCTTTCACCTTAATAATCGTATGTTTGGTGTGAGAAATTTCCAACATCGGTATACAGAAAAAATTTAACTGCAGATATTATCAACCGGTTTTCGGGCCATTTTTGGACAGGTTTTTCTGGAGTAGAATCTCTAGATTCCCTATCAAGTCATACCATGCCCGTTAACGCCGCCTAGTCAAGAGCCCCCTTTTTTGTTAATGTCCCCATGCAGGCGGGACAAACAAGCGTTTTATATGGATGAAAGAAATCTTTTAGATTTTAATTTTGCCCCCCCCCCCCTCTTCTCACTATTAATTTCGTAAAAGAGGCCTTGTTGAACTATAATACCTTAAGTTGTCTGGATGATTGACTTGCATGAACAACTTTGTTTCATTTTTGGCGATGTCGATCGTCCAACCACGTTTGACCAAAACGGCTCGTGCCACTAGATCCTGTGTTCGTACTTCAGAGCTCAACGAAAACAGAAACTTGGCTCCAGGTTCCCAACCAGGTGGCATTGTATCGTACAAACGTTTTGGATGGATATTTGTGGATCCACTAACTAAACAAGACACTATTTTGACGCCTGCTTCTCTTAGTTTGGAGGTAATTTTGTTGATCTTGTGGATATCTTCATTACTGCCGTCTGTAGGCTCTCCATCTGATAGAACGAAAAGCAATTTGTTTCCAGAAGTGTCTTCTTCGAAAAGTTTTATTGCCTTTTCGAGAGATTCATACAACGGCGTTTTGCCGTAAATGAAAAGTTTGACGTTCTCAAGTAATTCTTGCTTCCGCTCGTTAGAAAGTTCGTTAAGTTCCTTTTCACCGACGCATCCTCGAATAATAATGCGAGAGGCATCTTGCACAGTGAATATTGAGTGGGTCCCTACGTCTTTTAAAATGCGAGAGCCATCTTCTAAATAGCATTTTGCCTTTTTACAACTTCTTCGATATCCTCTCTCGTAGCTGATCTGAAACAACTAGCTGTCCATACAGTAGCATTCTCTGCTATGTTGGCTACTTTTTTTAGACCAGATAGCACGCCGCCAGCAAGAGGTGCTGTAGGTACTGTGTCTTGAAAACCGGGTGGTAAAAAGTGGTCCATAAATTTTTTGACAAAATGTTCGTCCGACTCAAATTCTCGCAGAGTCAATGTTGCCATATATTCAGATAGTACATCTTGAATCAGTTTAACATTGCAGGCCCAATTACGTATGTTGCGTGCACCGTTTCTCTCGAGAATATCAAGGATCTCGTTGATGTGGTCTTCAGTTACAGGCATGTTCGTGTTTTCAAATTGCTGAAGAGTTGCAATAACATCAAATATTTCTTTGCCGGGACATTCAGCACCGACGCCTATTGCAAAAACACGATTCTCAGATGTAAGATCATGTTCAATAAGGTCATCGATAACATTGAATATAGACTGCACCCATGATCCGCCTTCTTCATCAGTACCGCTTCCAATGTTCCTCTGCATAGAACCAGAAACGTCAAGTAGTATTCCAGTGAGCGACATGTTTGTTTTATCTGCAATAAAGAAAAATTCGGATCCTTTAATCTTTACCATATTAGACAATTGTAAGAAATATAAAAAAGAAAAACCTGCTCTGAAAGGTATTATTTCATGTGAACTCAAGAGGAGTGTATTTAAGTGCATCCAATTTCCCCACCAAATAAATACCAGGGGCCGGTTGTATAAAAAAGTGATTAAACTTAATTATAGTTAGTGGAAACGTCATCCAATAAGAAGCGCGTATTTGAGAGTTAATCACTATTTAACTACAAAAAAGTGATTTAAAAAGTGATTAAGAGTTTTATACAACCGGCCCCAGTCCCAAATGTGAAATTGAAAGAAGACTCCGTCTTCGTAAACAATTCTGCCTTCGTAATGGTTCTCTCATTCCCATTTTTGTGTCTTTCATGCCCAGTCCCCCAGTAATTCAAATTTCATTTTCCAAGTCCACAAATACGCAAATTCCATGCAGTTCCTATTTTACTCCTCCATGACCTTGCCGTTATGAGTTGTTAGAAACACAGCTTCAGTGGCGCACCACAGCAAACGCCTATCACTTCTGAGTTCTGATATATTAGCTTCGATTCTTGCTTATTTCTCGGGATACTCCTGTTTACTCCCATACGATCGAAATATGGACAGGTTGAATTGAGATAAGTTCCAAACTAACCTTGAGGTAAAACGAAAACTATATTACGCTCTATCTATATGGTATTGAGCACTGTTTGTGTTTCGTAAACCAGAATCTTAAGCTATATCTATATATATATATATATATATATATATATATATATATATATATATATATATATATATATATATATATATATATATATATATATATATATATATATATATATATATATATATATATATATATATATATATGTATGTATGTATGTATATGTATGTATGGCCACGGTCAAAGGTCGAACTTTTCATGTGCCGAACCAATACAAATGACTGAAGTGAAACAAAGAACTTAGCTCATTACCATTAGGTTTGGCACATGAAAAGTTCGACGTTTGACCCTGGCCTAAGACGGCGTCTGCAGGACGATGGCTAAACAAACTGTTTGAAATAAATGATTGTATGGAAATCTTGTTTTGTATTTACTTTCGTATGAATTTAAAATTTCGAACGAGTAAAATGAGCTTTAGCCTTCCAAACAATGTTGATCAACTCTGCTAGAAAAACTACCTGCCACGACTTGAAATGCTAGCGTACTATACAAGACGTGAAAATATGCATTTTGCCGTTGGCAACAGAGCTTGGACGACGTCTAAAAGCCATGCTAGATTTTTAATTATTCATTTCCTTTGTGCTATAGGATTAATGATACAGTATTGATATAGCCGTCGTTCTGCAGACTTTGCCGTCTTAGATTCGTAAACTCCCTATTAGCTGTGCTCCATGATCAAAGTCGGTCAATACATATATGTGCGTCTTTAACATTTCTTAATTTCAGATTGTGTGATAGATATCCGGTTGTATAAAAAAGTGATTAAAGTTAACTATAGTTAGTGGAAACGTCATCCAATAAGAAGCACGTATTTGAGAGTTAATCACTATTTATATAACTACAAAATAGTGATTATTAAAAAAGTGATTAAGAGTTTTATACAACCGGCCCCTGGGAATTTCTCAATTCTCAGCTAAGTATACAAAATGCAACTGATGCCTATGTGTTATCGCGGAAGAATTGTGGAGAAAAGAATTCTGCATCGTATAAAAGTTGAAAATTAGGATAACTTATTTTGGCGGCGCAGTCTCATGGTCTACTCGAATGCAAACACAAGTGCTGTCAAGTAGAACTGTAATACTGTACGCAATAGCGGTTTACTACTTGGCAACCAATTGACGCATTTTTAGTTAACAACGCAATGCAATTGTCGAAACGCTTGACTTATATATACCATCCCTGAATCACAGCAACTGAATAATCCCATTAAAACTTTTTGAAATTTGTTGCTATTCGTTGAGTTTTATGGACTCAGTTGCCAATTATTTTCGTGCATGAAAACTCTCAACTGAACTCTAAAGAGAAAGGAAAATCGCGTCAAAGTCTTGTACACTTAAATGAAAAATTCGTACTGAAATTATGCAGAGTGTAATTCTGATTAGAGAGTGCAAATTAAAAAAAAGTTCTTTCTTCCCAACAAAAAGTCCAAAACAGTTGATGATATATTTGACTATACTAAGTTGCCAGATTTTCGAAAGTCCCCAGCCCCCATACTAACCCATCCATCTTAGCAGTGCTCAGTGATCAAAGGCGCCTTAGTATACGTCTCACTCTCAATAAATATGAGGCAGCTGCGTCCTTTGTAATTTAGCTCAGCTTTCAGCTGTACGTATAGAGATGCTTAGCAACCATCAAATATCACCGCAATGCAGTCGAAATATAACACTAAAATTTTTTTTTTTTTGGAGTTTTATAGATGCAATTTTCGAACGAAAATATATACTGCAATTTTCGACCAGGGCAAGGCGTAGTACGTTACTAATAGTTATACTAAATAGCAACCAAGTTTGTTTGGCGGGTGGCTGACGCGTTTTTAACTGGATTTCGCAATTGTCGAAAACGCTTGATTTGCCGTATATTATACAATAACTGAGATCGCGTTAAAGCTTGTTTGCCAACTGAATTTGTTGCTCATTCGTTGCGCTCAGTTGCCAATTATTTGTGCATGAAAAACTCTCAAGCCATATATATACAGTCAATCGGAAGCAAAAGAAAACGCGACAAAGTCTTGTACACTTCAACCAAAAGTTCGAAAAGTTCTTTTTTCCCTAAAGAAAATGCAAAATAGTCCCCCAAAGGCAAAGGCAATGATATATTTGGCTATAAAATTGCCGGACTGTCGAAAGTTTAAAACTCAAAAATCTCGTATATTTTAAAAGCAGTGAATTCCTCCGTGAACATGCACGGTAAAACACTGGAGTAATAACTATTACCAGTACACAAATTAGGAACACAAACATTTTCAGTAAATTGAAATTACATACCTTTCAATTTCGTTCTTGATTCGTTCTGAAGCTGTTGAATAAACTAATCTGAACGTCTTCCAGGTAGAACAGAAAGCTAAGTTACCGAGAAAACCACGGATATGCGGGCCAATCAGTCATAAATTATTCATCGTTTTTTAGCGTCGTCCGGAAGTAAATCACCTTGATGTTTTCCAAAGAAGACAAAATGTTTACTGTTGTCGTCGCAAAATGATGCTATATTCACACAGTATTTACACTATTTTTGAATTAAAAACAGCATACTGAGTTTACTTTAAGCAAACCTGTCAGACAATTTTATTCACGGAGGGTAAACTAAATGCACTCAACAGTGTCAGGGCCTTTTCTAATTGCGTAAAAACAGGCACAAAAACAGTTGCAAAGCTACATTAACTGTTTTGCTGGGTAAAACTGAGACGTCAAAAATACACAGGAGTACCGGCATCTCATTCCTGAGTTAAGGTTGACAATGATTTGTCCTTTGAAAGTCAAAACATAAAACCACAACAGCTCGTCCTCTAATGCTCTGCGCGTGTAAAACATAATGGACGTGTATATGTAAAATGGGGTCATGAACGAAATGCCGCTACATGCCTGCTATGTGCTTTTCGCGCTTAGATGTCGAGGTTTTGCAGTTGTGAATTTTGATCTTCAGACCGCTTCAACATTAATCAGATTAACATTATCCATTGAAGCGGTCTGAAGATCAAAATTCACAACAGCAAAACCTCGACATCTAAGCACAAGAAGCACATAGCAGGCATCTTAATCACCCGTGCATATAAATTCCTGCCAACCAATACTGGCAATAAGCTAATAGCGTTTAATATTTATAATTCTCTATTGCCGTCTTTCCACCGCAGTCCTATGCTTAGCCTCCTGCGCTGACGTTGTTAGTGGCCGAGCCACTAACAACGTCTGCGCAGGAGGCTATCCTATGCTTGGCTTTGACTTAATTTGGTTGGCGCTGATTGGCTGATTAAAACCATTGCTTGGCTTGTAGTGTGAGCACGACTTGTGTTCCCCTTACTACTTTTTCATATAGGCAATAGACATTTTAGGGATCGTTCATTAATAATGGGGCGGGGGCGGTAGATGATAAATACCAAATATTGAACATTTTTTAGAGCCACCTCCGATCGCAAGACTTTTATTTTCAAGACGCCCCCACCTTCATTCAGAAAATTTAGGACTCTCAGGCTCCCACTCGAACATCTAATTCGTTACATTTTTTGGTGTAAAATAGGTGATGGGGCAAGTACTGGTATTAGTGGTATAAGACATCGCGTAGCCTAAATAATTACAGGACCAGTATTCAAAATGGTTGTTATTTACTCCGACTCGTATGGTGAACTACATTTACGTAATAAACTATGGAAACTACGATTATAAAAACAAAAAAGGTGAAATCAGATTTTGCCGGAGGGATACGATAAAGATGAGAGATTGAAAATGAGTTGGATAGTAAAAAATTAGGGTTGCCCCTTGTCACATATTTCTTCATTTTGAGGCCGCCCACAATTCTGGCAAAAATAGTTGAAGCCGCCCCCTTTTTCTCACCCGCCTCCCCCCTCCCATTATTAATGACCGGTCCCTTAGCCGACATGTGACTGCATCGAACCATGGATTGTAAAATAACAATCCATGTTTCGAGTCAGTCGAACCAAGGTCTTTCTTTACAATGAAATAGCCTGCGAACATTGACCAGATGAATAGATAACAAGCAACATATATTAGAAGAAAGAGAAAAGATATATGCTGAAGAAAAGATATATGCTGACCCAAAACAATGCTGAAGCCAAGCAAGCAAAACATTTTGGACAGTGCCATACACAGCGGGGAGGAGGAAAACAGCAGTGCGAATTCCCCCCCCCCCCCAGAGAATTTGTTCAACTCACAACTTTTATAATGTTATTATTAGTTATTCTTTGGTTGTTTGGTTACTTGTCTCATCACATAAGTATACTGCCCCCCCCCCCGGTGGAAAAATCCTGCGTACTGCCCAGTTTTAATTCGGTTAACAATGACTCTAAATATTCTCTCCACAATACTCTGGATACTAGAAACCATGCAAAGATAAAACTACAATCTATATTGATCAATAGAAACAAATACAGGATGTAGCTAGCCTGTATTACAACATTCAAAGCATAATATGTCAATGACGAAGTTTAAAATGATCAACAGCTGCACTGTCCGCCGTAAACAAAACAAAACAAAACAAAACAAAACAAAGCAACTTAATAGAACAAAGCAACTCCTACTATGATACAATTTATATTCAAAAAATTTCTGCGAGTTAAACAGGTGGAGAGGCGTCGCAAATTTCAAGCGAAAGATGCCACTCTTCAACGACACCACCCGTTTTGCAACAAAGCCGAATCATGACATCCAAACACATCAGGGATTTAATATCCCAATGTACTAATGTGTCCCATCTTTGGAAAAACTAAATATAAAATGGATGGTTCTGAAATTTAAAACATTTGTGAACCAGAAAAAAATAAGGCACTGCAGGTAAGGGTGAGACAAACTTAAATTTATCATTTTTACAATTTGGTGAAGATAAGCTCATGCATGATATGTTACGGCAATAGGTGCATAATTATTTAAAGCATGCATGTCCTTCGGCTTTGCCTTTGGAACGTCGTCCCAGTTGTTCCGTTGGCTTTAGTAGTACAATCAATTATCATAGATTACATGCAACATGGTGAAATTATATATATGTTCGAGTAATGTACCCTCGATATACAGAGCACAGCTAGCTATTTGCTCATCAGAGATAATATAATTCAAGACTAGAATATTACTACAATGCTACTATAGATTACAACGAAACTTTTTATGGATTACAAAGATTTTTCAAGTAATATACCTCTCAATATACAAAGAACAGTCATTTGCTCAAAGATGTCAAGTACATATTTAGTGCGAGAATATTCCCTGCGTTATCTTTGGTTGAAAATTCACGGGAACATTTCGGACATCGAACTTTCGACAGCGTTCCAGCAAATTCAGTAACCAACGATGGTTGCTCACATTCTGGGCAGATGTATTCGGCTTTTTGCAAGCCTTTCAACGAGTTCACCAACTTTGCGGCTACTTCAGATCCATGTTGATGATAATACTCTTTCTCTCCCTCAGTCAAGTCACTCAACGTCCAGTAAACGTCGAAGAATTCCAGTTGAAGTACTTCTGCATTTTGTACTCTGAAGAATCCATTGTCGCCCCACTTTTGTCCCCAGGAATTCATGAAGGTTAAACATTTGCTGTTGTAACTGGTCAAAACGACAGCATGGCCAGAAGTGCGAGGTGGAGGACTTGTAGGACGCTTACGAACATCAAGTTCATTTTGCGTGAGCATACCTGTTGGATTTGTTTTGTAGAAATTTGAAAAATCCTTCCATTCCTCGCCCGTTAGATGAAATGTTGCTACCACGGGACGCTTCTTGACAACAGCTTCCATCGCCCCCTTGATGCAGACTTTTTGGCTGTGTAAACGATAATTCGGGCATATTTCCTGCAGAACTTTACTGATATTTGCACCATGAATTCCATAGGCTTTTATAATTTCATCTCTTAACTTGTGAAAATCTGGATATCCGCCTTCGCGACCAAGAATTCGTCGCATTACCAAATGAAGCACAGCAGCAGATGCATTCGCATAGCAAGTTCCTCCCTGTTGTTCTTTCGCTTTAAAACCACCCATGGATTGGTTGATATATATGTCGAGGTCAACAGATACCAGCAATTCAGATAGCGCATCGGGACAACAAGCGACATCTCGGGCCATTTCGCAAGCTTCCCTGAATGTAATTCAAAGACAAAATGTTAGAATTCAGTATTTAAGCGCTTATATCATGATACTAATTGTATAACAAATATATAGAACTAGTGAGCTACATCAGTAGATTTTAGCAACAAACTGACTGGCACTCCCGCAATACGATGAAATAAAGACAAACATTGGGCTTAAAATTGAAAAATTTCCCTGATATTCATAAATTAACCTGGGTTTGGCAAGATAATTTTATGGTATTAAGCACAGAATAAAGATCATACAGAAGGGCCACTTACGTCGGAAGCTTTGAAGTTTCTGTCCTCGTGCATGTCGCATTACGCATGTTGGCCGCCATTTTCCTAGCTAGTCAATGACATTTTCTGGCCAATAAACACGCTGTACTGGCTATGGATGCTCCGCCTTCTGGCCAGTAAACTGCATATTTTTGCCTAAAAAACGAGGACACGTTGCACCGCTGAGTGACCCTTCTGAAACTAATCTTTATTCTGTGGTATTTAAAAGTATATACTTAAAAGTATATTGACTATATTCGGAAATTAAGCCACCATAAAGTTCTGGGACACCCCCCACCAACCAATTCGTGCTTTACCATGCTCCCACTGAATATTTCCTAAAAGAAACTGTTGAATATGATATACCTTAGGTTGTCCGGATGATTGACTTGCATGAACAACTTTGTTTTATTGTTGGCGATATCGATCGTCCAACCACGTTTGACCAACATTGCTCGTGGCAGAAGCTGGGTCGGTACTTCAGAGCTCAGCGAAAACAGAAACTTGGCTCCAGGTTCCCAACTGAGTTGCATTTCATCGTACAAACGTTTCGGTTGAATATGCGGGGATCTCGTGATGAAACAGGATACTATATTGACGCCTGCTTCTCTCAGTTTGGAGGTAATTTTGTTGATCTTGGCAACATCATCTATACAGCCGTCTGTGGGCTCTCCATCTGATAGCACGAAAAGCAGTTTGTTCTCAGAAATGTCTCCTTCGAAAAGCTGTATTGCCTTTTCAAGAGACTGATACAACGGCGTTAGACCATAAACTATGAAAGGCTCGACATTCTCAAGTAACTCTTTCTTTCGTTCAGTTGACAGTTCTTCTTCACCGACGCATCCACGAGTGAAGCGGGAAGCATCTTGCACACTGAATATGGAGTGGGGTCCTACGTCTTCTAAAATGACAGAGGCATCTTTGTTACTGAATATAGAATGGGTTACTTCTTCCTTCAAAGCGCGAAAAGAATCTTCTGCGCTGCAGTATTTAAGGCGGATCCATTGGCCTTTTTCAATAGTATAACATTTTGCTTTTTCTACAATTTCTTCGATATCTTTTCTTTTAGCTGGTCTGACACGACTAGCGATAGATGCATAATAACTATTTACTCGTCTAGTTAACGCGCCTGATCTTCGACTAAATAAGTTAGGTTCAACGACAGATGCTGTTGGTTCACCATCTTGAACACTGCGTGGTAAAAACTCGTGTACAAACTTAGAGAGAAAGTCTCCGTCCGACCTAAGTTCCCACAAAATCACTGATGCTGTATAATCAGACACTGTATCTTGAATAAGAGTAACATCTCCAGCCCATTTACGTATGTTACGCGCGCCATTTTTCTCCAGAATATCTAATATGTTGTTGATGTGTCTCTCTGTTGCAGGCATTTGCATAATCTCCGTGATTCGCTGAACAGTGCCAATGACATCAAATATTTCCTTTCTGGGACAATTTGCACCGACGCCAATAGCAAATACACGATTCTCAGAAGAAACATCGTATTCAACAAGGTTATCGATAACTTCAAAAATAGATTGAGCCCATGATCCACCTTGTTCACCAGTACCGCTTTCAATTTTACTCTGCATGGAATGAGATACATCCAGTATCATCCCAGTCAGTGACATATTTGTATTCTTATATATAGTTTGACAAATGAGTGATTATATAATATGCCTGGTAATGGTTAATGGATCAATCAATGAAGTTCTGTACTGACTTGAATCTGAAAAAAGCATTCAATACTATTTAAGCAGTTGTGGCCGAATTACTTTGATTTTGTACTTGAGTAAATTAGAACTTATAGTCTAATAAATCACTACTACTTTTTCAGACTAGTACTCATTAATATGCAGAAACGCGCAATAGGCGTACTAAGAGGCCTACGGACTAGGCTGCTACTTTTTACATGAAGTCGTTTCAAAGTGAGGCGTACTTGAGTACAAAGTGCCATTTTTTTTATAAATTTGAAGTAGAAGTAAATAATTATTTATTGGTAATGGAACACTCAATCAACATAATAGTCACATAAATCTTGTATTCCCTAGTCTCCCTCGCTCTTTGTGTTTCTCCCCAAATATCTATAGCTAATGCGAAGACATGCTCAAGTCTCGCTCGAATTGGTTTTGATAGAGTCTATACAGTTTATTATGAGATCGCGAGGCATGCGATTGTGCGAACCATGAAAGAACCAGATACAGTACTAAAATGTGGTGCCCTACCAATAAAACTTTCCGCGGCGTATCCGCCTACAAGTTATTTAGTAGGCTACATTCCTCCTGTCGACCGGCAGTTAGTTGGTCAGTGGTCCGTACCGTACGCTAGAATTATAACTTCAAAATAAAATTTTTCGACTAAAAACAGTATCAAAATAAAGGGAAAAGTGAGACGAATCCATTCGTATGCGGCCGAAAAAGAGCAAACCAACAATACGAAAGTTATCAAGGATCAAACGTACTGCATTTTTAATTAGTTTAAAAATTTTGAGCGTGCATGTCAAATAAAATTTTTTTTGTAGTCCAAACAGTGTCGATTTTGATATATGAAGATATCACTATCTTCAACACTTTTTCCGTATCATAAACAGAAAACATTGCATGTTTTTATTATTTTCAGTACCGTATAAGTTTTGAAATGATATACATAGTTGATCTAATAGAAACTTTTCTGCGAAACATGCATACATGGCTCGCTGCAGTATTCAGTGATGTGTGACTCGCATGTTTTGGGTGCTTCGTTTTGGTGTTTGCGTAAAGAAAGGTTTATATTTCCAACTTCTCAGGTTGGGACCATTTTTCTATAACAAATAGCCTGACTCAATGACAAATTTACTATGCTTCACTAGATTTTATTTTTGTGCAAGCTGCAAATCTTCAAATGGTCAAATATATAGTCTATAAATTGAGATATACAACTATTTCAATTAAGGTTGTCCCCCGAGCAAAGCGGAAAAGTCGAATAAGAGCGCGAAATTAAGGTTGCTGGGAATCGCTAATAAATTCATTCATTTATTAGCGATTCATTTATTACGATTCCCAGCAGCTTTTCGCGCTCTTATTCGACTTTTCCGCTTTGCTCGGGGGACAACCTTAATTGAAATAGCTGTATTCCAAAACTGCCCTCCCAAATGCGCCTAACAATCAAACTGTAAAGATTCTCTGCACAGGTGGGTTAATAAATATAACAAACAAATAGTACTTACATTAAATGTAGTGAGACTGACTTTGTGATCAGATTGACTCTAGGTATCGATGGTATCGTCTGAAACTTGAAGACTAAATCAAACTGCTACCTTAGAAGAATGTAGCATTGAACGTGTCACCAACAAATCTTTTGGCTTAATCCGTGACGATCATGAGTTAAAGAGGGGGAGGTGTCAGTATCATACATCTTCAGCTTATAGACTCTGCAAACAATATGCCTGTGCCTGTTAGACTGTAAAAATTGCTATTAAACTGTCATGTATATGATACATTGGTATTTTAATAATTATATACATGTAATTAAATACTAATAGTAATAATAAAGTGTGTTTTGTATACAAAATTTTTTAGAACCACTGAGTATTTTAACAAAATACAAAACAAGTGTAACTCCAAAGATCGGTAACATTTTTGTATGCTGGCTGTCATGCATGCATTCGATTAAAAGGTTATATAGGCATGACCTTTATATACATGCATGTGGATACTGGAGTGTTCATTATAGCCTATAGTATAGGTATAATTAATAGCTAGTATGGTTTCTCGTGCAATTTGGAAGAAACATGCACCAGTGAGTTTTTTTGAAAGACGATCAAAATTGCCGAAGGACGAGTGCAATTTGAAGACATGCAGTCTTTGAAAAACTGACGAGTGTATATGTTTTCCAAATTGCACGAGAAACCACGACACTATTTATCCTTGTTAATAATAATTATACATGCCTATATACATGAAAAGTTTACACGCTTCCATAACACTTGTGCACTCACCTACGCTATTTAAGCATTGTTTTCATTGCTCGAGTAATCCTTTTCAGTTTATCTGCTCTTTGTACTTAAATTGTTATCTTGACAAGTGTACAAGAAACACCTCTATGGTTTTGGCAAACAAAATGCATCCTTGACAAATGATTAGCAAGATTCCGTGCACTGCACCAATTGCACACGAAAAACAAAACTTGTCAAGGAAAACTTGCTCGTCTGTGCGGAGGCTTTAGATTTTGGTGTCGGTAAAGTTGTTTTTTTAACAAATTGCGGTCAATGACCAATTCGCGCAAATCCTAGCTTTACTCCTTTAGAAAGTCTAAAATAAACGGTAAAGTGTTCAGTTCAAACTTATACTATTCTTCGGATTGATCAAGCGCAATGTCCTCTGCAATAATCAGCCATCGGGAATTAAAATTTTCCTTCGTTAGTAAAAATCTTACCATCTCAGCCTTGTCTTATAACTCTGAACCTTAGTTTCAAAAATGATCTTTCATCAGAGAACGTGCATTGCAGTGATTGCATTGCATTGATGTGTCATTCAATTCTTATTCGAAAAGAAACTTTCCTCAAAGATACGCCACTAAGTCGATATTTACAAAATAATTAAGTTCAGTTTTCAAGTAACCTCAATGTACAAAGCATATACTTATCTACTCAAAGATATCAAGTACATATTTAGTGCCAGGATGTTTCCTGCGTTATCGTTGGTTGAAAATTTGCGGAAACATTTCGGACACTGAACTTTCGACAGCGTTCCAGTAAATTCAGTAACCAACGATGTTTGCTTACATTCTGGGCAGATGTATTCCGCTTTTTGCAAGCCTTTCATCGAGTTCACCAACTTTGCAGCTACTTCAGATCCATGTTGACGATAATACTCTTTCTCTCCTTCAGTTAAGTCACTCAACGTCCAGTAAACGTCGAAGAATTCCAGTTGAAGTACTACTGCATTTTGTATTCTGAAGAATCCATTGTCACCCCACTTTTGTCCCCAGGAATTCATGAAGGTTAAACACTTGCTGTTGTAACTGGTCAAAACGACAGCATGGCCAGAAGTGGGAGAACTCTTACGACGTCGGCGGACATCAAGTTCATTTTGCGTTAGTATACCCATTGGATAATCCTCGTAAAAATTTGAAAAAGCCATCCATTCGTCGTCAGTGAGAAAAAATATTGCTACCACGGGACGTTTCTCGATTACAGCTTCCGTCGCCCCTTTTGCGAAGACTTTACGGCAATGCAAACGATACTTTGGGCATATTTCTTGCAGAACTTGCCTGATATCATCAGCACTGTCATCTCCATAGGCTTTGATCATTTCATCCTTTAGCACGCCGAAATCTGGATATCCGCCTTCTCGCCCGAGAATTCGTCGCATTGCCAAATGGAGGACAGTAGCAGAGGCGTTCAGTCCGCAGGGGCCTGCATTTTGGTTGATATATATGTCGAGGTCAACAGTCACCACCAAGTCAGATAGTGTATCTGAAGAATAGACAATATCGTGGGCCATTTCGCATGCTTCCCTAAAAAGTGATTATATGAAAGTAAGCCAACTTTGCCAAAGCGGTCTGGTTCTGGTCTGGGAAATTAGCGCAGAGCTAGTTATATATTATAGCAAAAAATACTTGGAGTGAAGAACTTATCGCATGCAGTTATAGACGCGTACAAGACAGGGGAACGAGGAGGCACAGAATTAAATTAAACAATGGTAACTTGGGGAAATGCTGAAAAATTTGAAAAAGTAGTTTGGGCAAATTTATCCTCAAACGTATTAATTTCAGGTTATTGTATTAAAATCCTTTCATAAAATTGCAAGTTACCCCTTGGAAAGAATCGACTCCGTCGACGTATAAGCTGTGGATTGATAGGGATACAACTACCTGAAAAATACAAGCGGAACTTCGACATTTCGACAGCCATTAAACAAGGTATACCTAGAGGATTTTAACGTATAAGCTGAGGAAGGGTAGTTCCCCCAGGCCCCATTACCCCCGCCGAAACTAAACTATTCCCTCTACCAGCAAAATTGTTCTTCTCGATGTAATTCTATATCTCTTTGCTGCAAATGGCTTTATCAATTAAGTTTACAAATTGGAAATTTTTCTTTGTTAAGCACATTTCAGACATTTAAAAATTAGGTTTGGACACTTATACTACCGACTACGGTTTGGCTAGATAATTTTATGAGTATAGTATTATTATTAAATATATAAAAAAAAATCATCCCGAAATTTATCCTACCTAAATGGGTTATATCCAAAAAATTGTCTCTGAAACTGCAGGAAATCAAACCCCTATATATACACTAATCACCAATTCATATAGCACCCAATGAGTCTGTTTGTTCATGCTTCCACTGATGATTTCTGAAAGAGTCTTGATACCTCAAGTCTTCTGGATGATTGACTTGCATGAACAACTTCATTTCATTGTTGGCGACGTCGATTATCCAACCACGTTTGACCAAAATTGCTCGTGGCAGAAGCTGTGTCGGTACTTCAGAGCTCAACCGAAACAGAAACTTGGCTCCACGTTCCCAAAGAGGTGACATCTCGTTATACAATCGTTTCGGATGAATATCTGTGGATCTGGTGATAAAACAAGATACTGTTACGACTCCTGCTTCTCTTAATTTGGAAGTAATTTGGTTGATCCTGGCGATATCTTTATTACTGCCGTCTGTAGGCAGTCCATCTGATAACACAAAAAGTAATTTGTTTACTCTCAAAGTGTCGCTCTCAAAGATCTCTATTGCCTTTTCAAGAGATTCATACAACGGCGTGGATCTGCCGTATATGAAAGGCTCGACTTTCTCAAGTAATTCCTGCTTTCGCTCGGTACGAAGTTCCTTTTCACTGAGTCCACGAATCACGCGGGAGGTTTCTTCCACACTGAATACAGAGTCGGTGCGCGCGTCTTGTAATGAAATATAGCAATTTGATTTTTTAAGAACTTCGAGAATTTCCTCTCTCCTAGATGGTCTAAAAATACTAGCTGCCCATACAGAACAATTCTCTACTACGTTCGCTACTTTCCTTTCTACAAAATTAATTAAGCCAGGGGTTGGTATTCTGTCTCGACAGCGGGATGGTAAAAATTCGCACACAAATTTCGTGAGAAACTGTTCGTCCGACTCAAGTTTCCCCAAAATCAATACAGCCATATGATCAGGTACTATATCTCGAATAAGAGAAATATTCTTAGCCCATTTACGTATGTTACGCGCACCGTTTTTCTCGAGAATATCAAATATCATGTTGATGTTGTCCTCTGTAGCAGGCGTTTTCTTGAGGTAGCTAATATTCTGGACTTTTTGAAGAGTCGCAATAACATCAAATACTTCTTTGCCGCCACAATTTGAACCGGCGCCTATAGCAAAGACACCATTTTCAGACAAAACGTCGTGCTCTATAAGATCATCGATAACTTTAAAAATAGATTGAGCCCATGGTCCACCTGGTTCATCAGTCCCGCCTTTAATGTTATCCTTCATCGAACCAGAAACGTCAAGCACTATTCCAGTTAACGACATGTTTTTAAGATCTGAAAAAAATTAGATACGTAATACTATCTTTTAGTCGTTACCAGCAGACAATTTCAAGAAATACAAAAAAAACTGTACTCTCTGAATAGTATCACCCGGCCCTATATCTAATCAGTCTCCGACTCGATCAGATTGAGCTGCGTCCTTTGTAATTCAACTTGATCAGCTCTCAGCTGCAAGTAAAGCACTTCCCCAATTACTCACTTGTCAGGAAGCACTCACCCTCCCACTCCCCCACTTACAACAAAAGACGAAACGTTAAGTTGACGTTTTGGGTGGGTGGTGGTCAAGGCCGTACCCAGGATTTTTCACCAGGGGGCAGTAAGGCCTATATGCCGAAAAAAGTCCCAATTATCCAAAGAATAATGACATTTTAAAAATCGTCCCTGGTGGTGGTTCAAAACTATACGTTGTGGCGTTTTTACCGTGGCAAAGTAAATATTTTTAACTAATAATATAATCTTGCCACGGTATGGTACACTTGCAAGGTATACCACGCTTGACGTTACCAAGGCTGGGTGGTGGTTTTAGTAATCTTCGTAAACGTCAAAGTCAAAGAATCTTACACAAAAAACTATTCCCAAAATGTCCACGAATCCGACAATAAGGCCTGTTTCATATGTTGCGCCGCCGTCGACTTTAATTCAGACGAATTCGACAAAACGAATGCGAACGTTTCAGTGTAGTACGGCTTCGTTTTACACGTTATATCGTCGTGTCAAATTAGCCTTCTTCAAGATGGCTAAAATCCGCCATTTTGGGGGTAGTCTGCTCTCGTGAAGGATTCTAGACAATTTAAACAACGTGAAGAGTGACTTTTAAAAGTTGTAACTGTAAATTTACCATTATACAAACAACTACAATACTAAAAAGTTGTATTTCGTGCTGCGGAGACTCTCAAACGTGGGAGAGGCAGTGCCCTCAAAATGGCGGAAAAATCGGCCGTGAGAAAAACTAATTAAATGCATGAATTGGTCGTATTTCTGAATAATCCATGAAGGCTAGTCATGAAGCCAATCCGTTGGAGCTAAATTCGTTGTTTTGAAAGCGAAACCATGCTATAAACATTACCAATCCACGAATTTGAATAATGCACTAAATTCCTCTGAATTAAATTCAACGAATGAAACGTACAGGCCTAAATTTTAAAATCCAAAACTCTCAGCTCGTATATGTACTTTGAGACTTTTGAGGTTACTTTCGTTCTGCAACTACTGGGATCTGGGACGGATTAAAATAGAACTATTTGATAATTTCGAATTACATACCTTTTCATTTGCTAGTGTGCACGTCTTCGCCTGAAATTGTGACACAGAAAGTTATATAATTACAGAGAAAGCCAATTCATCGTTTTTAGTCTGTAGCATGTAAATAACTTGGATGTTTTTCAAGAAAGACAAAGAACTTAGGTTGTTGTCACAAAATTGCCGGAATAACGTCTTTGAAAAACATATTATATATGACGCACATACATCATGAATTAAAACACTATTATAACCACTTTAACTTAAAATGCAGCCAACAAATTTAAAGTCACAGTATGCTTTAAAGGAAGAGCTAAATTTTAATTATCACATGCATGGTAGGTCCCAGGCGAAATCTTTTACTTCCATTCAAAGGTGAAGTAAAACCAATTGCCTGGGGATACAGAGGACAAAGGTATTTTTGTCATGTCAGATGAAAGTAGAAATTTGCATTTCAAATTAAATAAGAAAAAATCTTTGTCAAATTCATCCAACATGGCGGCTATGATGTAAGTGAGGACATTCCCGCGTCTCATAATTCTTGTTACGATGCCAATTAGCCTGCGCGCCGCTTATTGATGAATCCTGGTGCTGGCCGATACCACGGCTAAGACAGAGCAAACAATTTTTTTTCAGAATTGTCAGTTTTGGTATCTCTAATTGTCAGTTTCGAATCTCTAATTAATCGATCATTTCCGGTAATTCATCATTGTATATTATTAACTGAATCTAATGCCGATGGGAATGGATCATGAAATTTTATCCTAACCATCATGTCGAAGGAGAAACATCAATACCTGACGAAAACCCTCGATTTTGGCAGAAGGTTATCTGACACTTTTTACGTGAATGTCATTTTAGTCCAGTACGGGAGTCGAACAGACTGATTACAGAGGCATTGTGATGATAGCCAATCTCGTTCCCAGAGTATGCCTGTTCGCGGGTTAGGTTGTGGCATGACCCGCGAACAGGCATACTCTGGGAACGAGATTGGATGATAGCCTGCTCGCAGCTTGACATTTAGAAGATGAAATTTTCCCTTTCTAAATTTCAGGCTGCGAGCAGACTACTGTGATGACTGCGCAACCAAAATTAACCCTTTAGCCTGCAGTGCTTGCTAGCCAATCAGGAATCAGGTCTTTTAGACATTTGCAATCAGGACATCGGGTAATAAGTAAAAGTGAGCAGTAGTGTACAACTGGAATGATAAGAAGGGGCTCTTAAAAAAGGGGGATGACAAGACGTGAGGGTGACAAGGTGTGGAGGGTGATTCTGATATATTTTCATGCTGGAGCCAGGTACATAAACTAAAGTATGATCATAGCAATCAAGTACAGATTTAACATCATTACCGCATCATTTCAACATTACAGTTACAAAGAACGTTCCAGGCTATGAATATATAATATTGGCAGCCCCCAAACCGACATGAAATTTTTAACAAAGGGGGCTTCTAACAAGGGAGGCTAAACCTTCCTGAGCCCCCCCCCCTTCCCCCTCATTCTACATCCAAGAAAGTAAGATATATTTACATTTGTATTTTTACAATTTGATGAAAGTAATACCATTTTATATATGCTAGGAAATATATATGTGATTATCATATTAAGTACGTATGCATGTCCTTTGGCCTTTGGGAAGTTATCTCAACTGTTCCGTCTTTTCTTAAATCGTACCATAGATTACAACTTTATGAAACTATATATATCGACTATATTGACATTTCAGATAACTTATACTGTCATAGTTATCTCATCATGCACAGATATACAATTATATTCAAGACCAAAAAATTAGTTACTGCGATAGATTACAATAATACTGCATATGGATTATAAAGATTTTTCGAGTAATATACACCTCAACATACAGAGCATTGTTATCTACTCAAAGATGTCAAGTACATATTTAATGCTAGAATGTTCCCTGCGTTATCGTTGGTTGAAAATTCGTGCGGACATTTCGGACACTGAACTTTCGACAACGTTCCATTAAATTCAGTAACCAACGATGTTTGCTTACATCTTGGGCAGGTGTATTTCGCTTTTTGCAAGCCTTTCAACGATTTCATCAACTTTGCAGCTACTTCAGATCCGTGTTTGCGGTAATACTCTTTTTCTCCTTCGGATAGGTCATCCAACTCCCAGTAAACATCGAAGAATTCTAGCTGATCACCAAGCACTTCTGCTTTTTGCACTCTGAAGAATCCATTGTCTGCCAACTTTTCTCCCCAAGAATTCATGAAGGTTAAATACTTGCTATTGTAACTTGTCAAAACGACAGCATGGCCTTTTAGGGGAGCACTGATTGGACGCTTACGAACATCAAGCTCATTTTGCGTGAGTATACTACCTTTTGGATTTTCCAGGTAAAACTTTTTAAAACTCTTCCATTCATTGTCTGTGAGGCGAAATCTTGATACCACGGGGCGCTTCTCCGCAATAGCTTCCATAGCCCCTTTGATGCAGACTTTGCGGCAGCGTAAACGGTACTCCGGACATATTTTCTTCAGAACTTCACTGGTATTAGCACCTTTCCTGCCGTAAGCCTTGATAATTTTATCTTTTAACTCGTGAAAATTTGGATAACCTCCTTCTCGACCGAGAATTCGTTTCATTGCCAAATCTAGAACAGCAGCGGATGCATTCGCATAGCAGGTTCCTCCCTGTTGTTTATTCGGTATAAACTCTTCAGTGGTTTGGTTGATATATATGTCGAGGTCAACTGATACCAGCAAATCAGATAAGGCATCTGAAGAACAGACGACATCTTTGGCCATTTCGCAAGCTTTGCTGAAAGTGGTTACATAAAATGTCAGATTATTAACAACAGAGAGCAGACTAGCGCGACAGGTCCTGTTCAACAGATAAGCTGAGGAGCTAAGTTAAACTAATTAAGTTCCCGTAATGCGGGCACCGCCACGAAATTACTTGCCTCCTCCCCCAGGGAAGATCCCTGATAGTGTTATCATTAGTTTGGAAATTAGAAAATTTTGCTGTTCAGTACTTTTTAGATATTCATAACTAAGTTTGAATATTTTATGAGTTTTGACAATTTATGATTATATTACAAAAATTAGTTTGTCTTGATGGAATACTAGTATATCCAAAACAATTGTTCCTGAAAATACAGAAAATCAAGCCCCTAAATTTTCTTCTGTAAGATCCTGGACCTCCCTCTTTCCTCCAACCTACTCGTGCTTTCTCCATTTACTACCCCCATAAGGTCCCTTTCTGTTGTCCCTCCCACCAAAATATACCTTAAGTTGTCCGGATGATTGACTTGGATGAACAATTTTGTTTCATTTTTGGCGATGTCGATCTTCCAACCACGTTTGACCAAAACGGCTCGTGCCACTAAATCCTGTGTTCGTACTTCAGAGCTCAACGAAAACAGAAACTTGGCTCCAGATTCCCAACCAGGCGAAATTTCATCGTATGTTTGTTTTGGATCAATATTTGTGGATGCAGTGATAAAACAAGATACTATTTTGACGCCTGCATTTCTTAGTTTGGAGGTAATTTGGTTGATCTTGGCGATATCTTTAATACTGCCGTCTGCAGGCTCTCCATCTGATAGCACGAAAAGCAATTTGTTTTCAGAAGAGTCTTCTTCGAAAAGCTTTATTGCCTTTTCGAGAGATTCATACAACGGCGTTCCGCCATAAATGAAAGGCTCGACGTTCTCAAGTAACTCTTGTTTCCGCTCTTTAGAAAGTTCGTTAAGTTTCTTTTCACCAACGCATCCACGGATAATGCGGGAAGCATCTTGCACACTGAATATAGAGTGGGTCCCTACGTCTTTTAAAACGCGAAAGGCTAAATAGCATTTTGCCTTTCTTACAACTTCTTCAATATCTTCTCTCGTAGCTGATCTAAGACAACTAGCTGTCCATGAAGTAGCATCCTCTACCCCGTTCGCTACTTTACGTAGACCAAATAGTACGCCGCCAAGCAACCATGAACCCCAGTTTTCATTCTGCGCTCCTCTGGATTGAAAATAAAAATCTGGGCTTGTGGATGTGCCAGTTCTTGGAACGAGAAAGATCGGGATTGATTCTTCGCTCCTCTCACTCAGATTGAAAGACTGGGTTCGAGGTTGGCCGCCAGCATGAGATGCTGCTTCTACTTTATCACGACAACTGGATGGTAAAAAATCGTCCACAAATTTTTTGACAAACTGTTTGTCCAACTCAAATTCTCGCAGAGTCAGTGTTGCCATATAATCAGATAGTATATCTTGAATCGGTTTAACATTGCCAACCCAATTACGTATGTTGCGTGCACCGTTTGTCTCGAGAATATCAAGGATCTCGTTGATGCGGTCTTCAGTTGCAGGCCTGTTCGTGTTTTCAAATTGCTGAAGAGTTGCAATAACATCAAATATTTCTTTGCCGGGACATTCAGCACAAAAACACGATTCTCAGACGTAAGATCATGTTCAATAAGGTCATCGATAACATTGAAAATAGACTGAGCCCATGGTCCACCTTCTTCGTCAGTACCGCTTCCAATGTTCTTCTCCATAGAACCAGAAACATCAAGTAGTATTCCAGTTAGCGACATGTTTGTTTTATCTGCAATAAAAAAAATTCGAATCCTTTAGTATTTACCATCAGACAAAAAACCTCCTCTAAAAAGTATCATCTTATGAACTCAAGAGAAGTGTATTGAAGAGCGTCTAGATCCCATTTCGCACCATTTCCCCACCAACTAAATATCGGTCCCAAATGTAAAATTGAAAAGAACATCCCGACAAGACAAGAAGATACAACAACAAGATACACTTATTTGGCACAAATATAAAAAATATTACGTTTACACACAGTAGTCTATAGTAGTAAAGGCAAGGAGACCTCGTGAAACCGCAAGGCTTATCCAGTGAGGCATGCACGGCTTGTGCAGAATATTCTATTTATTTAAGGTACTCATTACAAGTGCTGCATTGTCGTTTAACTGAGAATTGAAAAATTCCCGGATATATCCATATATCTGTCACAAAATCTGAAATTAAGAAATGTTAACTCTGGCTTCGTAATGGTTTTCCCATTCCCATTTTTGTGTCTGGCATTCCCAGTCTCAGTAATCCAAATCTCATTTTCACAGTCCAAAAATACGCAAATCCTATGCAGTTGCTATTTTACCCCTACATGACCCTTGCCGTTATGAGTTGTTGGAAACACAGCTTTAGTGGCACACCATAGCAAACGCCTATATACCACTTCTGATATATTAGCTTCGACTCTTGCTTCCCACAGGAAATATGGACAGATTGAATTGAGATAAGTTCCAAACTAACCCCGCCATTTATTAGCTGTTCTCTGTGATCAAAGTCTACATACACACGTCTATAACATTTCTTATAATTTCAATTTTTGTGTTAGATCTCCGGGAATTTATCAAATCTCAGCTAAGTATACAAATTCCACAATGCCTTTGTGTTTAAATATCGCGGGAGAATTGCGGAGAAAAGAATTCTGCATCGTAAAGTTGAAAAATTAGGATAACTTATTTTGGCAGTGCGGCACTGTCATGGTCTGCTTGAATGCAAACACAAGTAGAACTGTAATACTGTATGCAATAGCAGTTTACTACTTGGCTTTAAAAGAAGCTTCGCCAATTATTTTTTTCATCCTTAACCCATATAATAAACTTATCCATAAGAAATGGGGTATTTCCCAATGATTGGAAAAGAGCTAGGGTAATGCCAATATATAAAGAAGACTCAAAATCAGATCCTGATAATTATAGACCAATATCTATCTTACCGATTGTCAGTAAAATAATTGAAAAGATCGTTTTCTCTCAGTTTTATGGATACCTAATCGATAATAATCTATTGTCTAGTTCCCAACATGGATTTAAACCATTACATTCAACGCTTACGACTCTTCTAATATCTACCAACAATTGGTACCAAAATATTGATAAAGGGCTATTTAATGGAATTCTATTACTAGACTTAAAAAAAGCCTTTGATACCGTGAACCATCCAATTTTATTAAAGAAGCTTGAGATGTATGGCGTAGATCCTAATTCTATCAACTGGTTTAGATCATATCTAACAGGTCGCAAACAATGCACAAGCATTAATGGCACATTGTCTAGCTTGCTACCTGTTACTTGTGGGGTTCCTCAGGGATCGGTGCTTGGGCCCTTATTGTTTCTAATTTATATTAATGATCTTCAAGCCTGCCTCTCTACATCGTCCCTTATGATGTATGTTGATGATACATGTTTAACTGTTAGTTCTAACGATCCAAAAGACCTAGAGCTTAAACTAAATAACGAACTTAGAAAAGTGTAAACGTGGCTAAGGGCTAATAAGCTTACTCTGAATGTAAAGAAGACAAAATTCTTAATCCTAGGCAGAGGCCGCGGAAGCATTTCGAAAGTGGAGGGGCATTGACCGAAAGGGGCACTTTTGTATATGACCAGAATTAAACGATTTTATGACGTTCACGAGCCGAACGAAAATTTTTGAAAATATGGAGTCTCTCTAACGTCGGAAATGGCCTTTACAGAGTCTTTACTACTGCGAAAAGGGCATTTTCTTTTCAGAAAAAGAGGGCGTTTATTCAAGAAATACTTTTTTCGTTTTTTAAATGGGGCATTTTAACCCAGAAAAAAGGGCACTTTTTTCACTTTTAAGAAAAGTGGGGGGGCACATGCCCCCATTGCCCCCCCGGTTCCGCGGCCCCTGATCCTAGGAAGCCAAGCGAGATTAAGTAATCTGAATTATCGCTTTAACATTCAAATTAATGGACAGTCTATAGAAAGAATGTATTCTTATAGATACTTGGGACTTGAAATTGATGAATCTTTAAATTGGCAAGTACATATTGAAACCATTTGTAAGAAGATAAGTGCAAGTCTTGGGGCGTTAAAGCGGATTCGAACTTTTGTACCCCAAAACACATTGATCCTGATGTATAAAGCCTTAGTGTTACCTTACTCAGACTATTGTAGTGAGGTTTGGGGCTGCCTAGGTAAAACCCTCTCCGAAAAACTCCAAAAACTGCAAAACAGAGCCGGTAGGATAATAACCTTCTCCGATTATGACGTAAGATCAGCTGATATACTACACAGTCTTGGTTGGGAAACTCTTGACCAACGTCGTGCTAAACAGCTCGCAACAAGTATTTATAAAGCAGTGAATAATTTATATCCCAACGAGCTTAATACTATTTTTGAACCTACCTCGCAAGTCCACTCGCACAATCTTAGAGGTAGTTCGCACAGTATGTTCACCCCTAGACCCAGAACGGAGGCTGGTAAAAGGAGCTTCGGCTACCGTGGGGCTGTGTTATGGAACGATCTTCCGGATGAAATAAGAAGTCAGGCTTCAATATATCTTTTCAAAAATAAACTTTCTAACTTTCAAATTTAATACTAAGATTAAGCAGTTGTAAATATGATAGGATTGTATATATATTTAGCTAATTTCTTTTGTTTTTTGTATTTTTACATGGCTCCTTGGAAGAGCACTTTAGTGAAAGGACACCATGTTACCTATTTATATATTTTTTAATAAAGCTTCATTGATTGATTGGCAACCAAATTTGTTTTGGCAAAAGCAGGTAAGAAGTGACTGACGCGTTTTTAAGTTAACAACGCGATGCAATTGTCGAAACGCTTGACTTGCCGCATATGCTATCCCAGAATCACAGCAACTGAAATCCCATTAAAGCTGTTTTGAAATTTTTTACTATTCATTGAGTTTTTTACTATTCATTGAGTTTTATGGACTCAGTTGCCAATTATTTTCGTGCATGAAAAACTCTCAACTGAACTCTAAAGCGAAAGGAAAATCGCGTCAAAGTCTTGTACACTTAAATGAAAAAGAGATTCTAAACTAAACCCCACCATTTATTAGCTGTGCTCCGTGATCAAAGTCTACATACACACGTCTATAACATTTCTTAATTTCAGATTTTGTGATAGATCTCCGGGAATTTTTCAATTCTCAGCTAGGTACACAAATGCAACAATGCCTATGTGTTGTCGCGGGAAAATTGCGGAAAAAAGAACTCTGCATCGTAAAACTGAAAAATTAGGATAACTTATTTTGGCGGCGCAGTGTGAACTGTAATACTGTGTTATGCACGTCGCATAATATTTATCGCATTTCCTCGCTCAATACTTAACGTTCGTTCAATTAACACACGGATAACATTAAAATTATATAAACTTTACTATCAAAGAATAAGGTAAAAGACTTAAACTAACGTTGAGTTCGTAACGAAATATCCTCGAATAATCGAATATAATATAGATAATACACGTTCGATCGAAAGAATATGAAACTTGTTGTTTTTATACTAAAATTCCCGTATGTAAAAGCGAATCGCACGTGTTTAGCCTGCGAACAGGTTCAACAGCCTGCAATCAGGCTCAAAGTAAACGCAACAAATGTTATTGAAACTCTGTTCATGTCTCACAGTTTATCACATACTGTACGCAATAGCGGTTTACTTTACTACTTGGCAACCAAATTTTGTTTCGGCAAAAGCAGGTAAGAAATGACTGACGCATTTTAAAGCTAACAACGCAATGCAATTGTCGAAACGCTTGACTTGCCGCATATACCATCTCTGAATCACAGCAACTGAAATCCCGTTAAAGCTTGTTAATCCCGTTAAAGCTTGTTTTTTTGTTGCTATTCGCCGAGTTTTATGGACTCAGTTGCCAATTATTTTCGTGCATGAAAAACTGTCACTGACTGAACTCTAAAGCGAAAGAAAAATCGCGTCAAAGTTTTGTACATGTACTTAAATGAGAAATTCGTAAATTATGAGTGTCCAGAGAGTGCAAGTTACAGAAAAGTTCTTTTTTCCCTACAAAAGGTCCAAAACAGTTCGCTAAAGTCGATGATATATTTGACTATACTAAATTGCCAAACTTTCGAAAGTCTAAAACTCAAACATCTCATATATTTTAAAGCAGTGATTTCCTCTCGAACTATAGTAAAGCACTGGAGTAATAACTATTACGTATACACTAGTATAAGGAACATTAAAAATTTTCACTAAATTGAAATTACATATCTTTCAATTTCGTTCTTGATTCGTTCTGAACTGTTGAATAAACTTGAGCGTCTTCCAGGTAGAACTGAAAGTTAAGTCACAGAGAAAACCACGGATTTTGCGGTCCAAATTCATAAATTATTCATCGTTTTATCGCGTCAACCGGAAATAAATGACCTTGATGTTTTCTAAGAAGACGATATCTTTATGTTGCCCCCCCCCCGTCGCCCAAAAAATTTCGGTCAGTGTACCATTTTAGGGGTCCAAAAATTTTTCCGGACGTACAAAAATTTTCCGGAACATTCAAAAATTTGCCGCACATCACAAATTTTCAAAATTTTTTTACATTTTTCCAAAATTTTTACATTTTTCCTAAAAATTTTCCTAAAATTTCCACCACGTTCTTGCCCTTTGCGCCAAAAAATATTTAACCCAAATAGCAGTCCTACCGACTGAATAGCAGTCCTACCGACTGAATAGCAGTCCTGCCGACTGAATACAATTACTGGGGGGGGGGTGTCACACCCCCCACACCCCCCC